ATAGATACTTAAGTCATATGGTAATATTTAATATTTTTTTTACATAAAATATAAAGATTGGAATAAAAAGAATTTATATTTATTATAAAGAAGATATATATTATACCTATTATTATGAAAATAAAATTGTGTAATTATTTTTTGTTCTCCACATTTTAATGGACTATATTATAATTCTTCAAATATTAAGAAAAAAAAATCTTATACTTTTGGAATAATTATCTATAATCATTTATCTATTATTTTTTATATAATTTAAACAATTTTTTTAGGCACGAAATGTCTCATTTTTTATCAAGTAAAAGTACTAATAATATCTCGAGAAAGAAAGAGAAAGATAATCAAGAAGAATGTAAAAATTCAATAATGCTTTTTTTTTTTCTTTTTCTTCTAAATTTTGACAGCCATAGTTGTTTAAAAGTGTGCAATTTTGGTAAAGTCACAGGGTTTAAGTTGATAACACACACGAATTTTATTGATAGAAAATTATTCACACATACGAATTTAAAGTGAGAAAATTAAAACGAGAATTTAAAGTGAGAGAAAACTATGCAACTCCTTTTTGTTGTATAGTAATAATGACGCCTGTTTTACATTATATGAAGAACATTCTTTGCGTCCCTGTTAAGCAGGTTCTTCTGGAAGCTTACATTTTCTGTACACATGCATATGAATTTAAAGTGAGAGAAAATTATTGAACACTTTCTAAAATAGAAGGGATAGTGATATTCTAAGTTAATATATAAAGAACATTCTTTGCGTCACTATTAAGCAGTTTCATCATGTAATTTACAAGTCACAGATGGGTTAATTTGAGTTGAATTTGATCAAATGTGTTTTGGAATCCGATGAAAATAATTTGAGTTTGGGTTAGCTAAATTAAATCTGTGTAAATGTATAAATAAAAATGAAGAATCAATAAATTAATATTATTTTAATGAATTTGTCACTGTTATAAAATTAAATAAATAAATGAATATCAATATTAAAATAAGATCATGAATAATTATATGATATAAACTTGCTATAGACACTAAAGTGTATGAAGGGGAATTTTAATTGTGACTTGGAAAAGACACGATGGAACATAGCCCACACAAATAAAATGCTAACATTATTTGTTCATTAACAAATATAAGGCACAAATGATTCAGGGAAGTAATAAAATTGATTACTTATGTATTGAAACTCAAATGAAAAATGTAATAGTGACTTGTGAGTGTATATATCATAGTGTATCTCATGTTAGTTTATTTATAATACATATATTATTATTATTATTATTATTATTATTATTATTATTTGATAATGTAAAAAATGGTTTTTTAAAGAGCATTTCGATCAAATGTTGAAAAATAATCTTTTAATATATTATTTTGACTAATATCAAAATATTACCCTCTGATCAATTTCACTATATGATAAGATTATTATAGAAATTTGAAGGTTTGAAGAATTAAGACCGTAGACATCATAATGGTAAGGATAAAGATAAAGGCAAGATTGTAGGGAATAGTTATTAGTAGTTAGGATTTGTACTCTATAGTTTGTACTATATAATAAAGGTTGAAACTTGTAGATACCCTACGTATCATAAGTTCCAGCAATACTCACAGATCAATGAGTTACTACAACATACGGACCACTAATTCATTTCTAGTAATTTGGATTTTTATCCAATCTCTTTTTCCTTACTTGTTCTTTTTCAAACTTAACTTTTCACTTCTTAAACTTCATTTCTTCTCAAAAGTTAATATTTTCACTTCTTAATCTCAATTTTTTCTCCAAATTGTTATTGTTTTACGTTGTTGCAAAATCTATCTCTTTGTACTATATTTCAAGTTGAAAATAACCAATAGGTTACCAGTTTGAATAAAAAGAATCCACACTATTTTGAAAGATTTCAAGTCTTATTAAAACGTTATTTGTATTTGATTCTCATAATCAAATTCCAATGAAAACAAATTAGCATACCCAGTGAAAATCTTGTTGCAAAATTTTACAAAAACTTGTCTTGAGAAAAGTGTATGAGACTAAGAAGTGGTAGAGTAGCAATCCTGATGTAGAAAATATTGTTGTTCAGGAAAATCCATGACTTTCCGAGTATGAAAATAATGTTATTCAAGAAATTCATGAATCATCTAATATGGAAGATAACAATGTTATTTCTATTCTGAATAACAATTTGGAAAATACAAGGGCTGTTAGGAATTACAATATGAAAATATTTCAAATAATAGAATTGAGAATGTTCCGACTACTCAAATATAAAAAATACTCTTTCAATATTGGCCTAAATTCGAGATTTGAGGGTGGTGTTACCACAACAAGGGAATGCAAATACAAATAGTAATAGACCTCCTTCGAGTAGATGACCTTGGGGAATGCTTAATTGGAGGCCACAAAATTTGAATCTTGAATGTGTAACAGCCCAATTTTCATTCGGTCTTGGACCCAATTCGTTGCCCGGAACGGGCCGTTTCAAAAGTGAAATGGGCCGTTCCAGAATAAAGAATTTGCCTAAAAACGTAATTGAGAACGGGCCGTTCCGGTTGGAGAACGAGCCGTTCCGGTTGGAGAACGGGGCGTTATTATTTGATAATGTAAAAAATGGTTTTTTAAAGAGCATTTCGATCAAATGTTGAAAAATAATCTTTTAATATATTATTTTGACTAATATCAAAATATTACCCTCTGATCAATTTCACTATATGATAAGATTATTATAGAAATTTGAAGGTTTGAAGAATTAAGACCGTAGACATCATAATGGTAAGGATAAAGATAAAGGCAAGATTGTAGGGAATAGTTATTAGTAGTTAGGATTTGTACTCTATAGTTTGTACTATATAATAAAGGTTGAAACTTGTAGATACCCTACGTATCATAAGTTCCAGCAATACTCACAGATCAATGAGTTACTACAACATACGGACCACTAATTCATTTCTAGTAATTTGGATTTTTATCCAATCTCTTTTTCCTTACTTGTTCTTTTTCAAACTTAACTTTTCACTTCTTAAACTTCATTTCTTCTCAAAAGTTAATATTTTCACTTCTTAATCTCAATTTTTTCTCCAAATTGTTATTGTTTTACGTTGTTGCAAAATCTATCTCTTTGTACTATATTTCAAGTTGAAAATAACCAATAGGTTACCAGTTTGAATAAAAAGAATCCACACTATTTTGAAAGATTTCAAGTCTTATTAAAACGTTATTTGTATTTGATTCTCATAATCAAATTCCAATGAAAACAAATTAGCATACCCAGTGAAAATCTTGTTGCAAAATTTTACAAAAACTTGTCTTGAGAAAAGTGTATGAGACTAAGAAGTGGTAGAGTAGCAATCCTGATGTAGAAAATATTGTTGTTCAGGAAAATCCATGACTTTCCGAGTATGAAAATAATGTTATTCAAGAAATTCATGAATCATCTAATATGGAAGATAACAATGTTATTTCTATTCTGAATAACAATTTGGAAAATACAAGGGCTGTTAGGAATTACAATATGAAAATATTTCAAATAATAGAATTGAGAATGTTCCGACTACTCAAATATAAAAAATACTCTTTCAATATTGGCCTAAATTCGAGATTTGAGGGTGGTGTTACCACAACAAGGGAATGCAAATACAAATAGTAATAGACCTCCTTCGAGTAGATGACCTTGGGGAATGCTTAATTGGAGGCCACAAAATTTGAATCTTGAATGTGTAACAGCCCAATTTTCATTCGGTCTTGGACCCAATTCGTTGCCCGGAACGGGCCGTTTCAAAAGTGAAATGGGCCGTTCCAGAATAAAGAATTTGCCTAAAAACGTAATTGAGAACGGGCCGTTCTGAAACTGGAACGGGCCATTCTGCTGGGATTGAGAACGGGTTGTTCCGGTTTTGGAACGGGTCGTTCCAGTTGAGATTTTTTCTTGGTTCTGGAGAGTCCAGAACAGCCGTTCCACTTTTGGAACGGGCCGTTCCGGATTAAACTTATAAATTTAAATATTTTTTGATTTTTCCTGCGGATTAAAATTGGCAGAAAAATTCGCAAGAAAAATTACCTGCAAAATTTTTCTA